GGGCGAAGGAGAGAGCGAGTTAGAGAGTAAAAGAGAAAAAAGGGGAAAAAAAACAACCACCAAGAAGTAGAGATAGAACACCTAGAGAGGGTGCCGTATTCATCATCAACGCTAGATATCCATAAAAATCCTGGTTTAGTAATAATAACGATTAAAAAAAAAATCACCTTGTTTAAATATGAATCTTTTATAGTCTGCTTCGCATGGTTAGGAAATAATATAGTCTCTGTGGTAAAGGGGAGAAACTGTCACCCTTAACTACAACTCCATGTCCTGAGCTTCGTCCTCTGAAAAGTCGGACATGGAGCTTTCTGAAGAGGAGTCGCCCGCTCCTTCCTCCTGCTCCTTCAGAGCCTCCTCTGTTGCATATTTCTGGATGTATTCTGAATAGAAACAGGAATAGAAAGAGATGGATGGGGAAAATATGTTAGACATAGAAAGCAAATATTTCACTACAAACAATGTATATAGGCAATTAACTTGATTCATTATGGTTAATTGTACGCTAAAACAGGGCAATATAAAAAAAACTAAAATAATGATGTTTATTACACTTTTGTATCACTAAATTAAGAAATATATATATAGGCCTACCTACGTTTACACTACCACTCAAAACTTTGGGGTTGGTAAGATTTAAATTTAGTACTTTAAATTTTTTTAACAAATGCTCACCAAGGCTGCATTTATTTGATCAAAAAAGAAAAAGAAAAACGGTAATACTGTGAAATATTTTTACAATTTAAAATTTGAAATGTAATTTATTTGTGTGGTGACAAATATTAATTTTTAGCAGCGATTACTCCAGTCTTGAGTGTCTCATGATCCTTCAGAAATCATTCTAATATGCTGATTTGGTGCTCAAGAAACATGCATTATTATTATCAATGTTGAAAACCGTTGTGCTGCTCAATACAGAAAAGCATTTATTTGAAATAGAGAACTTTATAAACATCTTTACTGTCACATTTGATTAATTTAATAAAAGTATTGATTTCTTAAAGAAAAACAAACTTACTGACTCATCTTTGCAATGCAAACAATTTGTTGAATCAGATAGAATGAGTCATAAGACAGGAAAGTGTCATGAAACTAACATTCATGCTTTTGCAAACAGTTGCCTAGTAAAAAGCACTGAAATGACAACATATCCAGCATGTTGCTTAAAAATACTATGAAATACATAAACTGTTATTTGGATTTTTTAATATTAAAAGTCTTAAATTTTGGCAGAAACTGAATTTAAATGTCATGACTGATATAACATTTACTTTATACTTTTCGTTGGATTGGAAGGTAAGGCTGGGGTCAAGCAGAGCAGCTTTCAGGAAATAACATAGATCATTTACATGTATAGAACATTTGCATACTGTGCACAGTATACATACTGCAAAAAGTATGCTGCTAGTATACTATTCCAAACATACCCTTAACACACATATTTTTTTTTTTAGAGCAGAAGACATCGTAAAACTGTAACGTGAAACATGGTGACAGATATAAACCCAGAGGCCAGATGGAGGTTCTTCAAATCACCTTTGATTTTCTGTTTGTAGTCCTCTGGCCGGTGTAGGTACATGGCTGCGGCGTCCCCATTCAGAGGGTCGATGGGGTTCGGGTAGGCCAGCAACTGTGGCAAAAACGACTCGAAGATATTGGTGAGATCTGAGAGGAGAGAGAAAGAGAGGAAGTAGCCTTTAATATAGGAGCAGAGCAAAAGTCTTATGAGCCCTACGTGCAGCACAAAATGGAGGATTTGTGTTGAGTGACATGATTATAGCCTAATCTCCCTTTCGGTGTGGGGGCTGTGGACATAGATCTCTCTCTTTCTCTCTCTGTCTTTCTCCTTTTCTCTCATAGCCAGTACTGTATGTTCTAGCTGTCACTCTATTACACAAACACAACCTGGTCAATGGCACAAAGCAGCCGAGTACATCTAAACCAAATACGAGAATGTAAAATCAGCCGGTCATTATCACAAAATAAATCCCTGATGATCAGGAGGCACATATTAAAATAAAATAAAAAATTTTTTATGGGTTTATTGTGTGGGGGGAAAAGACTACAGGGTGATACAAAAATAAAATACAAATAAAAAAAATATATATCCAACTTAAAAGAATTTAAACAACTTACAAATGTATTAACAACCAATACATTTATATACAACTATTCAAACACAAAACACAAACCAATCAGAATCAAGTATTTCCAAATATCATCATCAAATCTAGGCAGCAAACAAACTCAATTACACTACTGCATAAAAGA